GTAATTTTTTTATTCCCCACCACGCCAGAGAAAGGAGTGCATGAGTTTTCGGGCACCAGTTTAAAATAAGCAATTTTATATTTGACCTCACCCCGCCGTAGGCGTCGTACCGGGTTCCATTCTCGCCACGCTAGAGAAAAGCGTGCATGAGTTGGTTTTCTGGTCCGCCACTAACATCAAAAACGGAGTTTTGAGTACCCGTTCCGTTGCATGCTTCACAATGAATTTCCTCCTATCACGCTAGAGAAAAGCGTGCAAAGGTGGTCGTTCACCGCGTTGCAAGCGCCGGGAATGGGTTTTCAAAGTTTAGGGTGAAGGGGTTATACCTTAGCTTTCTATCGAGGTGGTGTTGGCACGCAAGTCGAGGCGGGAGAATCATTTAATTTTTTATTAATTATAAATTAATCATAATTAGTTATATATAATAGATATAACTGATTACATTTAATTTAAAATTAATTTCAAGTAAATGATATCTAATTTATAATTAATTATACTACTATATAAAAGTGGTTTGGGATTTCACTCATAGCAAATCTTGATCATTCATCTATAAATTTTAAATTAATCTACACCGTTCATTTCTGACTCTTCAAATTCCCTTATTTATCACTTCTTATAAAACATTTATTTATTCATTTATTTACTACGATTATTTTAAAATAAATATCTATAATACTACTATAAAAGAGAATCTTCATGCCGTTTCAATTTCCTCCGTCAAAACTAATTAAGCATTTAATCAGTTTCTTAATATTAAGATTTCGTAAGCATTCAATTATGCCTGATTCTTATCTGCTACCTAATATCCTTTATTTCTTTACCTATTCACGCCAAAGATGAGACATTGGGCTCCTCATCTTCCCCTATTCTTCTCCTCAGTCTTGGCTTTTCATTTCTTCGCGCAAAATGTGAGGTGTCGGGGCTCCTCCTCTTTCCCATTCTTAATCCCCTATTCTTCTCCTCCGTCTTGGCTTTTCATTTCTTCGTGCAAAATGTGAGGCGTCGGGGCTCCTCCTCTTTCCCATTCTTAATACTAGACGGCGTTACCTTCCGGCTATTCATTTCTTCATAGAAAAGATGAGGAATCAGGCTCCTCTTTTTCTCCTGCGAAACACGGCTAATTTGAATTTTGCAACCTTTCATTTCTCAAAGCTGAAATGAAACTTTTCAGGTAGCAATAGAATTTAAATGAGCTACCACTTTTGAATTGAAAAGAATTACGTTTCTATTCCACTTTGACAGCCAAACCTTTCGTAGTCCAAAACCTTCACGCTTCGTATTCGATGCCGCAGGTGATGCTCAATAACTATTATAAGACGGTTTATAGTTTCCACTGCTACCACTGGTTTAGTTGGCGGCATAGTCAGGAACGCGAAAGTAAAGGACTCGGAGGAACATAAGGAGATGACGAAGAGCAGGACATGAGCGTGACAGTTTCCCTCTTAGCCGAAACTGGCTGCACCCTCCGTGTATTTGGCGACACCCCTTCGTCGCTCCCCGCCGATCCTCACAAATTCGTTTGCCATATCGACCGCCTCTCCTCAGCCGAAGACCCTATATTGTCTCTCGCTTCTTCTCTTGCTTCTCCTCCTACATCCAAAGCCCTCAAAACTTCCGCAAGTTCCAATACCTTCGCTGCTCAAGTTTATATACTCCCCAATCTTTGGGTTTCATTATTTTTTTTGTTTTTTGTTTTGTTTTTTTTTAATTCTTTTGCGTATAGGGTTTTGATACCCGTGAGCCATGATAGAGGCTCTTCTCGTGGGGAGAGCCACGGGTGCTTTTACTGGCGGCTCCGATCCAGTCACAGATGCTGAATCTGCTGCTCGTGAAATTGCCCGAGCATTTCAATGCCGATGCAGCATGTGTAGGTCGTTCGTTGAAGGATGACATTGCGAGGTTCTTTCTGCTACGATCACTCTATTTCCTTGATTCCGGGTCTTTAATTTGCCGAAAAGCTTATGGAGGTTCTTTCTATTTCCCCTCCCGGGCTTAAGAAGGAGCTAATCGGTTCGCTTCCGGAGATTATTGGTGACAAATGCCATTCCACGGTCTTCAAGAAGATGCTCCTGGAAGATTCAAACGTCATTGCTCCCGTGCTCGATTCTTTTACTGCTCTGAATTTGGATGAGCAGCTGCAGGAACAGGTTCATACTTTGTTATTCATGATTTATTTTAAAGATGTTTACTTCTACTGGTGTGAAAACCGGAGCAAACGTGCACAGGCAGAAAACATAGAAGAAGAACAGGGAAAAGAAGAAGAAAAGAACAGGAAGAGAATAGGTGAAAAGTTGTAAATATCAGTATTCAATTCTAAAAGGTCTCTTCTCTCAACCAATACATAAGTAATACTCTAATAAATGGAATATGAAAAAAGAAATATTAAGCTGAGCTGGCCATGACTTGGCAGAAAAGTAATAACTAACTAAAGCTGCAGGGGGTGGAGGCCTTGGTTATGCAATGATGGCGTTGGGAGATGCCCCGGTACTATGATACGCCACATCAGGTCTCCCCGTCCGTGGGAGATTCCTCACCTGAGGAAATAGATTGGATCATACATATGCATTATCGTTGATTCGCCGAACAATGGGTATAGGCCCAATCTTCCTGGGACTGAGCTTTGAATAAGTACCAGGTGTAAACCTCTCCTTGCGAAGATGCACCATTACTAGATCACATGGATTGAAGATCTTTTCACATCGGCTGAGATCTGCTTGCTATTTGTATGTGCAATTTGTGGCTCTAGCTTGTCCCGTATGCCTTGCAGCATTTTAGTGTAGGCTTCGGTAGTATCGGCTGCTACCCTGCTCTTGCACTACGGCAGAACTTCTATATCTACCAAGTGATTAGGACACTTAGTATATACAATGCTGAACGAGCATTATCCAGTGGACCGGTTCGTCATGGCATTGTATGCGAATTCAGCTTGGCCAAGGTAGTCGTCCCATTGCTTCGGATGCTCATAAGCCAAACAACGCAGCATATTACCTAAGGTGAGGTTCACGACTTCCTTCTGGCCATCCGTCTGCGGATGATAAGCGAAACTAAGTTTGATTTCGGTTTGGAGCCTCTTCCATAATTCTCGCCAGAAATGGCTAACGAATTTCACATCGCAATCCGACGTAATGCTGCGGGGGATACCATGTAGGCGAACAATTTCTTTGAAGAAGAGGATGGCGACGTTGAGGGCATCGAACGTCTTCTTACATGCTAGGAAATGAGCCATCTTGGAGAAGCGGTCAACGACGACCATAATCGAATCAGCGCCATATTTGGTTCTCGGCAAGCCTAATATAAAATCCATACTTACATCTTCCCATATTAAGTTCGGGACTAGTAACGGTGTATAACATCCAATATTTTGGGCATTCCCTTTATACAATTGACATATAGGACACCTCTCCACGAACCGTGTGGCATCACGGTGAAGATGAGGCTAATAGAATCGGCTTTGCATTTGTTCCAGCGTTTTTGTTCTGCCTACATGTGCTGCTAAGGCCCCGCTGTGCAATTCTTTGATAAAATGCTCTCGCCAGGAAGAAGCTGGTATACACAATTGATTGTCCTTGAATAGGAAATTGTGTCTAATAGAAAAATCAGTAGTCGATATAGGCGGGCTGTTTGTCAAATTGTTCCAGGCTTCAGAGAAGTCGTGGTCCATAGCATATAATTATTGCAAGGCTTCCAATACGAGAGTATCAACCTGTGCTTTGTGATCAGTGTCGTGCGACGACTGAGGGCGTTGGCAACGCGATTTTGGGTACCGAATTTGTGTCTAAGTACAAAACTGAAATGTTGTAGAAATGTTAGCCATCTCGCATGCATCTTGTTCATAGTCTTTTGACTATTGATAAATTGGAGAGCATGGTTGTCGCTGCACAAGACAAAGTCTTGGTGTAAAAGATAGTGCTCCCACTGTTTTAAAGCATGAGCGACTGCATATAGCTCTTGCTCGTATGCCAACCAGTTTTGACGAATCGGGCTGAGTTTTTCGCAGAAAAACTCAGGAGGCCTGTCCTCTTGTGAGAGAACAGTGCTAACACCCACTGATGATGCGTTCATGTCGACATGGAAAGGCTTTTTGAAATCCGGGATGGCCAGTACTGGAGTCGTCATCAGAGCAGTTTTGAGGGTGCTGAAACTTCGTTCCTGGTCAGATGTCTACCGCAGAGACTTCTCTTTGATGAAATCGGTGATCGGTGCGATGATGATACTAAAACCCCGGATGAAACGGTGATAAAAATTGGCTAGGCCAATAAAACTGCGAACCTCAGCCATAGAGCGAGGGGTTGGCCAATCTGTAATAGAACGGATCTTCTGAGGGTCCATATGCACACCCTGGCTAGATATGATAAAGCCCAGAAAGTGGACTGTACTCGTGGAAAACTCACACTTAGTTAAATTAATATAGAGCTTGTGCTCTCTTAAAATTTCAAGAATTTGAGAAAGGTGGGTGTGATGATCTTCTAGCGAGCGGCTAAAAAAGGATGTCATCCAAAATAAACGACACAGTACCTCCCAAGAGCAGGACTGAGGATCTCATTCATGAGCCACATGAACATCGCAGGAGCATTGCAGAGTCTGAATGGCATTATCCGCCACTCGAATAATCGATCTCTAGTCTTGAATGTTGTTTTCCATTCGTCCCCGGGATGAATGCGGATCTGGTGATACCCGCTCCTAAGATCCAGCTTCAAAAACAGGGTAGCGCCTGCGAGCTTATCCAACATATCTTCGAGACGAGGCACCGAAAAGCGGCATTTTGTAGTGATCTTGTTGATAGCTCGACTATCAACACACATACGCCAACTACCATCCTTCTTTGGTACGAGTAGCGCCGGGACAACACATGGACTGAGACTGGGTTGAATCAACTGTTTTTGGAGCAGCTCTTCCACGATGCCTCATAGTATCTCGTGTTCTCGGGGGCTCATTTTATAGTGTAACAGATTCAGAAGATTGGCACCCGACTAGAGGTCAATGTGGTGCTGCAGATTTCATAACGGAGGAAGCTCGTTTGGTAGTGCAGCGGGCCATACTTCCTTGTAGCACTGAAGGATATCTCGGACGGTAGTTGGAATTTTTGCCCCCCCCCCCTCATCCGCATGGTTGGTTGATGCAACCAATGCTAGCATCCACGATGATTCCTTCCAGGAATTTATAAGACTCTGGCAAGTGACAACAAACATGGTTGATTTGTCAGGCAACTCCTTATCACCATCACTAGTGGAACAGGGTAGGAGCCGAATTTTGCGCTGCTTCCATTCGAAATTATATGTATTTTCATGTCCATCATGTATTGCTCCCACGTCGAATTGCCATGGACGTCCCAATATTAAGTGGCAAATGTCCATATCCAGAACATCACATAAAACTTCACATACGTAGCTTTTGCCGATTGAAAAAGTCACTCGACACATTTCGGACACAGCTATCTCCATGCCTTTCTTCACACAACTTATCTTGTAGGGATGGGGATTGCGCGTCGTTTTGAGGTGAAGCTTCTACACCACCGACCGAGAAATGATATTCTCGGTGCATCCACTGTTGATGAGTAAATCACAGACATTGCCACCAATGGTGCAGCGGGTACGGAAAATGGCATGCCTTTGAGACGTACCCGTCTGGCGAGGCACTATTAGGAGCTTTTCCATGACACAAGCGATTGTCTCACCCTCATCGGCTTGGAGATCCTCAAAATCTTGCTCATTCACCTGCTCGGCATTATGGTCTTCATCGCCTTGTTCCCCTTCAAGCAGCTGCACTTGTTGCCGATTCGGAAAGTCATTGGACTTGTGTCCTGGTTGGAAGCAACGATCTCATTTCAAAGTTACCTGTTTCGCATGGGATTATTATCCCGTGTGGGAGTCCTTTGGCGGTTGAGAAGAGGAGGCTTAGGCTCAGCGCCTAGGATCCCAGGTCCTCCCATTGCTGGCGTTGGAGCCTTGTTTCCGCCAACTGTAGGTGATTTGTTCACATCCCCGCTAGGCTCCGCAGTGTATCGCCGAGCAATGCTACTTCTTGGATGGCGATTAATTTGAATCTCAGCTTTGAGGGAGTAATTGACCGCTTGTGAAAGGGTCCAAACTGAGTTCAGTTTAAGTTTATCTTGTATAGCTTCCTTAAGGCCTCCGATGTATCATGCCACCAGCTGTGTCTCAGATGCATTCAAATTATTCCGGGCACTCAAGCGGTAAAATTCCTCCGTGTATTCGCTGACAGTCCGAGTACCTTGAGTGCAGTGTTGGTATTGAACATGCAACATCTACTCGAAATCGGTGGGTAAGAAATGTCCCCTCAACAACCGCTTCATCCAATACCAACTAAAGATGTTTCCTTTTCCCTCTCGCCGTCTGGACTGTAGGAGTTGCATCCACCACGCCCCTGCTCCGCCTTTGAGACGACACGTGACGTACTTGACTTGCTTCTCCGGTGCTATCTCCATGTAATTAAAGAATGCTTCGACAGCACGCTCCCAATCCAAATAGTCTTCGATGTGCAAGCGCCCATCGAAGAAGGGAATGTCGAGTTTGATGCGGAATTCTCCAGGTTGTCGCTGCTGTGTGGGATATCGGCGAGGCTGTTCATAATAATTTGGTCTATCTTCCTCCGTCGAGTCAGTTACTTCCAATTGGGGTTGTACGCCTTCCTCATCGTCTAAGTCTGATACAACCAGAACAGTGGTGTGTGACCGTCGGCCATGATGCGGACGCAGTATCGGTGTGGTTGCTGGCACAATTGGTCTCCCCATTGCCGCGAGTGGTTGATTCGTCCTCAGGGATCGAATCTCGATCCTCATTTCCGCTGAGAACCGAAAGAACTCTGTGGTGAGAGCTTCCATCTGGTGAGCCATGCTGTCCTAGGCCATCCATAAGGCCTCCAGGCTTCAGTCCTCATAAACCACATTTCGTTTGCTTCCTTCTACCATGGGATTTGTAGCCGAGCTCTGATACCAATTGGTATGAAAACCTGAGCAAACCTGCACAGGCAGAAAACAGAGAAGAAGAATCGGGAAAAGAAGAAGAACATAACAGGAAGAGAATATGTGAAAAGTTGTAAATATCAGTATTCAATTCTAAAAGGTCTCTTCTCCCAACCAATACATAAGTAATACTCTAATAAACGGAATATGGAAAAAGAAATATTAAGCTGAGCTGGCCACTACTTGGCAGAAAAGTAATAACTAACTAAAGCTGCAGGGGGTGGAGGCCTTGGTTATGCAATGATGGCGTTGGGAGATGTCCCAGTACCATGATACGCCACATCAGCTAATGTGTACATTCTATTAAATTTAAAATTTATATATTTAATTTAAGGTCGTAACAATAGCTTTGTCCCGCATTAGAACTGTGGATGGGGAGCACATTCCTCATTTGCTTAGATTTTTATTACTTTCTACAACACCTGCAAATGCTCGGAGGATGATATCACAAATTCATGGCCAGTTGAAATTCATTGGTGTGATGGATTCTTACTCTGTCAGAAACAAGAAGCTCGAAGGAATAATTTCATCTCAAAGCACCGAGGATTCAATCCTTGATGCCTTGAGATCAAGTCTAAGGTTCAAAAATATAACTAATTCAGGTCGTTTATTGTTTTCTTATCCCAGCTATTTTTTGTTTCTCTTTGCTGAAGATATCTGCACTTGGTTAACTTCAGATTTTATGTGAGGCTGTTTTGAAAGTGCTAAAGTCTATAGAGCAACCACACGGCCATAAGGTCATAGATTTATGATTTCTTATGCTCATACACAAAAATGGAGGGTCCTTACAGAAAGATGCTCAGAAAATATTAAAGAAAAATATAGTAGATGGTTGCTTTTGTGAAGCTATGTTTGATCAATGTATTGCTGGGAACCAGGAGTTGGTAAAGGTGAGATATGCACTGATAAAAAACTTGCGGTGAGATTACTTAAGTTTTTCTTGTACTGTGAATTTCAAGACCTGAGGTCTCTCATCTTATGTTTCCAGAACTATTTCCCATCATTTGTTTCTCTTTATGAGTACCTACCTACTTGTAAAGAAAAGCAAGCAATAAATTTCGTCATTCACCTGTACAAATTACTATTTGTGGAGTTCAAAGATACGTACTCTAGGCAAGAAGTAAATTGTGTGAAAATTGGATTTTTAAATTAATTACTAAATTAATCATAAAAAATGTGTAAAGACATGTTGTCGATGTAATAAAAAATACTGAAAATCCTAATTTTTAGGATAAGTATTATTCCAATTTTAGTCATGTATTATTATTAGGCGGGTTTTGTGATTTGCAAGATTATATTTGTTCGAGTTATCTAACTGATCTCCACCAGAATAACTAGCTTTGCTTTAGAGTGGGGAAGCTTTGAGTAGATTATAGTCTGTAAAGATGCTTCTATAATTTTTCATCTCTTTCATTGTAGCTCTAAAGAGGGTTAAAGAGAGATTCTTTGTCGGCTATAAATGTTAGTATTTTGATAAGTAATGATCAATTTTCATATTAATATTCTTTTTTATTTTATAATATTTTTTCATTATTTTTTAAAGTCCTTTTAACGTGCACAACGTGCACGTGCATTTAAACTAGATAATTTGCCATGTTAAAAGTATGAATAGTTATTTATATTAATATATTTTATATATTAATAGTATTGTCAATTGGCTTAGACTTCATCTCACAAGGAATTCATAATATGATCATCTTGTTTAAAGTTCTTATATTGATCACACAAATAATCTTTATAATGGGTGACT